AGAGGTAAAATAACAAACATATAATAAGTTCTGTTCCACCACTCCAGTATCACTATCCACAAAAATGAGGAGATGTAGTAAAAGTTTCCCAAATATCCAGTATGGAGACTGGATCCATAAGAACACCATCAATTTTTCCATAAAATGCGTTGTACACAATCAAGGTTTTGTAAAATAATGCTCAAGAATGTCCCACTGAGGAAATAATTGGCATTTGCAGTTATTATATCAGGTAGGTGGAGATGACCTTGCTGTACTGTACATGGCTTGTCATCTGTGATTCATTTTCTACAAATAAGAACTTATACAGTATGTGATTACATATCACATATACTTGTGCCAATATAAATATCCATATTCCTTTATGTAATATTACAGTTTTAAATGCACATTTGTGCATATCCGAGAAGCTCATCACACTCATATTTTTACCTGGATGTTTTTGACTGTACTTTCTATTATATTTATTGAAAACCTTTATTTATAATGATCCTCTGCTAATAAAAAAATATTGTGATAACCTACGGATTTCATCTACATGCAGGATGTCTTGGCCATTTTTCTTACTTGTGTTTCAGAATAGTTTAAAAAATTGAACATCATCCAACATAATTTAAACATTTAATATACATTTAATACACTGTCCATTTATATATTGAACAGGTAGGTGTGTTGATTGTTTCAGCTGTATTCCTGCTGGAAATAGCAACATGTTGAGCTCAATTGATGAGGTTTCATTTAAACACCAAATGCTCTGTGTGTGATATTTGAGTTGGATAAAGTTGCCAAATGAAGTGAATTGAGAATCTGTAGAATTAACCAGTCACAAATATGTGATTTTAATAAAGCTGTAATGCAAGGACAGCAAAACATACAACAAAGCCTTACTAAAGCATTGAAGATCACCAGTAATGGAGCTGTTAAACAGAAACAGTTGAGCACCTTTTACACATGTCTCCACCTCATCATCACACTTGCAACAGCCTCCCTGGTTCATTCCTCACAAGTGAGGAGTTTTGGCAGACCTGACCATATGGCGAGGGCTGTCATTTCGTCAGGCCAGACAAACATACTCCAAGCATTAAAGTATTAATTACATTATCCCTATATTTTTGTCATCTTATCACGTTAATTAGGATTAGACTGAACTGCTGAAATGGTGGCTATTGGCATGACTAAAGGTAGTAGTAAATCAGGTGGGTAGCTGCATCAGTATGCGTAGGCTGCAAAGGAACAAGTAATAGGTTTATTCCATGTGGAAAAGATAAGAAAGAAAACACGTTTCGGCCGTTTCTTCAGGTGTGAGAAAGACAGGGCAGTAAGCAAAGGTAATGGAGAAGGAGAACAAAAACTGGGAGAGAGGAAGAGCGGGGGGAGGGGGCAGGGGACAGAAGGAGAGGCCAATCAGGAGCTGTGAAGGCAGGATAGGTGAAGAGAAGTGTGAAATGAAACCTACAATGAATAGAGAGAATTTAAAAGAAAAATAGTTTGTTGTTAAGAGAAGGGGGAAGTTGTGATCCTAGCTGCAGGATAATTTTGGTTTCTGTAGTCTTTCTGATGTATGAGTTCGGAAATCCATCTTTGAGAACACAGCCGGAGAGATTAGAGTGGTCATGGCCGTCAGAGGTGAAATGAGAAGCAATGGACTTGGAGAGATCTTTAATCTTCACAGCCCTGACGTGTTCTCTGAAGCGGTCTCCGAGTCTCCTTCTTGTTTCTCCAATGTAGATGGCTGTGCATTTACTGCAAGAGATACAGTAAATAAGGTTGCTGGAGGTACAAGATGCCATCTGGGTGATCCAGAATTGTGCTGAGGGGCCTTGAATCAGTGTGGTATTTGATGTGTCCTTGCAGGTGATACAGCGAGCTCTGTTGAAAGGGAAAGTGCCTGGTGTGGATGGTTGCTGAGGGTGGTCAAGAGAGCAGTGAACAAGAAGTTTATGCAGATTAGGTGGTCGGCGATATGAGATGATGGGGCGGTCAGAAAAGAGGGCCCCAATGGAGGGATCATCCTGTAGGATGGGCTATTTGTTAAAGAGGCTGCGCAAATAATAAAATGTGCTAGTTCTGCAATGAGCAGGCTAGTTGAAACAAAGACAGAAAATGGTTCTGTGAAAGACAGTCCACATCCACACACTGTGAGTTTCACCACATTGGTTCAGGATCATCACAATTGTCTGATTCACTTACATTGTTTCCAGACTGCAGTGTCTAGAGAACAAAAACCTCCAGGAAAAATTAATTGCACTTCAGCAGCATGACTGTACAGTAACTCATAACTGCATGACAATGATCTGCATGCTTGGAGACTATTGAGGGTAAACACTGACAACTGATAGTCAGAGTTGCTGTTTCCTGTGGGCAATAGAACATTTGAAGTAGCAGCATAGAGAGTGGTGGAGTGTTTGTTTCACTGAAGGAAATCAAATCAGCTTTTATGCCCATGTGTATTTAATGGGGTATATTGACACCCAAGGATTGGATGTGTTTGAGGATGTTTGAGTAATTAAATTTGCCTTAATCCGCTTTGCTGAAGTTACCTCACCATAGGATGAGAAAACTTGGACCCCCATGCAGAGTGAGGGGTTAACCAAGGGGTAGCTGCAAAGGTGGAGATAGGGTAGAGGAACATTGCACAACGTGAATTACAAAAATAAGCTTTGTGTGTTTTATAAACATTTACAAAATGATGCTGGGAATGACGGTTTGGAATATCTGGGGTGAAAGGTTTGGCTGACTTCATCCCTCCCAAACTTCAAAGAAGAACCTTCATTTATCATACTGAGTCAGTTCGTTATTGGACAACAACAGAAGGTAAGAGAAAGTCAGTTTGTAATAACTGGGAAGATACAATGATCAGGAAGAGTAATCAAATAATTTAACTTAAAACACAAGTGAAAATAAACACATAAAACAGATATGGCCAGCAGCCATATCACCCTGCAACTCACAACTGGCAACTCACTGAATCTAAGCAGGTGTGAGCCTGGTCAGTACCTGGATGGGAGACCTCCTGGGAAAAACTAAGGTTGCTGCTGGAAGAGGTGTTAGTGGGGACAGCAGGGGGTGCTCACCCTGCAGTCCATGTGGGTCCTAATGCCTCAGTATAGTGATGAGGACACTATACTGTAAACCGGCACTGTCTTTCGGATGAGATGTAAAACCGAGGTCCTGACTCTCTGTGATCATTAAAAATCCCAGGGTGTTTCTCGAAAAGAGTAGGGGTGTAACCAATCATGGCCTCCTAATAATCCCCCTCTATGAATTGGCTACATTACTCTGCTCTCCTCCCCACTGATAGCTGATGTGTGGTGAGCGTTCTGGCGCACTATGGCTGCTGTCACATCATCCAGGTGGGGCTGCACATTGGTGGTGGTGGAGGGGAGTTCCCATTACCTGTAAAGCACTTTGAGTGTCCAGAAAAGCGCTATATAAGTGTTAGCAATTATTATACTTTTAATGCTGTTACATACTCATGTTTGTACAACCCATTGATATTCTTTTCTGTCTTTTCTCTTTATTTTGAACACATATCTTCATGCATCTTTGAGTTGTCGGTAGTTTCTGTAGCTTTTGTGCATTCCAGGACTTGTTTTACACTTATGTGTTAAAATAGAGGTTGTTTACAATAGTTGAAAACCTTTGTTTTAAATCATGTATGCAAATTCCTTTTAGAATCTCACAAAAGTACTCCAGTCCATTTTAATCCCCTGTCTATTGTGCACATCAGTCACTGCCATTCAAATAATTATTTTCCATTACTGAAAAATACTAGTTAAACACAAGTTCTTTTCTGAATACCACGCTGGATATTACTATTTCACAGCTAAATATAAAAAAGCTTAGTATTGAGAGAACAAAAGCACATCATTTCCATGTGAAAAGGGCTTCTTGAATACATGATATATTTTCCCTTATCTAATTTCTAATTATTCCTAATAGAGGCTATTTTTTCATATATAAAGGGGAATGAAAAGTTGGATGTTGAGATTGTTTTGAAAATCAAAGATTGAATACATATTCCTGGTAGTGATAAGGAATATTATAGTATACACTTTATAGATATGCCTATAAATATTTTATAAATTTTCATAAATTTAGACTAGCTCCAATAATATTTGTAATATTGACATACAGTATATATATATATTGCTTTTCATATAAGGTGTCAATGCTGTTTGTACCAACAATGTATGAACCACACCAAGTTTTAAACCATAAAAAGTACAAACATGGTGATATCAATTGCTGCAAAAGTGATACATTGTAGAGATAATGAAATGTTGTAGAAAAATGACTTGCAAAGTTGTCACAGCGGAAATATAACAGTACCTCGGTGCTGCTGCAGGTACTGGGTTCACTTGTCAGGTTGGGTTATTGTAATCTTTTGGATGTATTAATATTACAGTACATGTAAGTTAACCTTAAGTAAAATGTTTGAAATATATTCCAGACTTAAATGATCTATGTGATCTTAATGTGACCACTTTATGTAGGAATGTCAGATGAATGCTAACCTTTGAGTAACGTTGTAAAAACATTTTGTCTCATGTAACCAAAACACAACCTTCTTGAAATATTTGGAAATGCTGTCAGAAGGGTACAGTATGTGTTAACTGGCCGTTTTACAAGATATGAATCTAGTCATCTGTATTTTAAAAGCCCAAGAAGAAAAATCACTCTAATAAAAAGCAGTAATAAAAAGCAGTAGTTCAAGTAGAATTATTGTCGCATACACCTACAGTTTTCTTCTTATTCCTTGAGTCAGATACAGTATATTTCATTTGGAGAATATAAAGAATGTTAGAAGAAGAGATTTGCCTAACAGGTAGCGCGTACTTGGCTCACACAAACGGTGCTGATACGCCCTCTTAGTGCATATTTATGTTCTATGGTAATAAGGCGCACTCGGAGCGGGTATCAATAATTTATGTTAATGAGACTGAACGGCGGAGATTTGAAGGCGTGCTGCAGTATTTACCAAGGGTAGTGTGGAGACAGTTTATCAGAGCAGTCACTGCATAAGAGGAACTGGCACTATAGTGGTCATTTTACGTTCACATCAGTACTCCAGTCCTTTAATTCATCTAGCCATTTAGGCAGTGGATAGTTCTGTAGTCAGGTTTAGTAGACTTCCTGAAGAGCGCGCAACAAGTTTGTAAAAGCTTCTCAAAGCCGATGAGCCTGTTATAGGTCATTCTGACAAGTGGGTGAAGGTCCTTTTATTGGAACAGTTCACACTTTTCCGGGCATCCTTTGGAGGTAGTCAGTTATTTAATGGTTTTAGGTTTTATTTTTTTTAATTCTGAATATTGATGCACTGTGCATTAACACCGAGGCTGGCAATATCAGACGTTCACTTCTCCGCCTGAGTTACATGCGGAGCGTGTGGTGTTGCATTGCTGAAAAATGAGTATGAAGGTTGCGGGAGGTAAAGGAGACGCGAGGTGCGATGAAGACATGGAGGAGAAAGCAGGTTCGCAAAGACAGGACTACTGTTGCCGGACTTTTGCAAATGCTCTCTCTTTCACATTTTCCCTTGTGTCTGTAGCGTTCTGCATATTTCTTGGTATACAGACCTCCGTTATCAAAGAAAGAGTATTCGCATTAGAAACTGGAAGCGGACAGTTACTTTATCATCAGGTTCCAGGCTTTTCTGTCGATCAGCTGAATTCAATGATACAAGAAAGAGTGGATGAACTACTGGCTCAGGTAGGATTTCCTACTCATTCATTGAAATACTTTATGGCTGCGTCAGTTGCACTGCAGATGATAGGACAACTGAATAAAATGATTTATACCTTCCTTTTCTTATGTTGCAATATGTTTATATTTTTATTTAACAGAGATCTTACGAACATTTGGCCAAGATAAGGACTGCACGTCAAGCTCCACCTGACTGCAACTGCCCGGCAGGTAAAATTAAAACGGTTGTGAACTGTTCTTGTCATCCGCTTATAATGTCTCTGGGTGAGAATAAGCGACACAGTCCCTGTGATTTCACAATTGAGATTGAATGTGATATTTTTTACCTAAGGAAAATAATCAGTTAAAATACAGAATTGTTTATGAGTTAGAAGCGATGCATATCCCACTGCCATTTTTCTTCTTTGGCATTCGGTTAATATATGCAGTCATCGGAACATTAATTGTCCTTGCATCGAGTCTGATCGAAGAAGTAATTCAATTTAATCCTGCTTTTCAAGATGAAATTATTTATTTTTCCACAGAACCGCTGTTTTTATTTTAAAATCATGAAGTACCTTCTACTATTTGTACTAAATGGTGTATGCGATTTAGAATTGACTGCCGTACATGGATTTAGATGGTGTTTGTTGCCATTATAAGATCAAATAGGCTACAATAAAGAATATTGTATATACTATATATTTGTGTACATCCATGCACGTGTAATTAAGATAATTAGGTGGATATTCTTAACTTTTCCATCAAAAGTAAGACTTTCATCGACAAGTTAGCGATGTAATGTATTAGATCTATCCACTCCTTTTATTGTCCAAAATACAAATGTCTTTGGCTGTGCACGCTGTGTTTTGCAGCCAGGAGATATGTATTTCTCTGTTGACAACCGGGAATGCTTCTCTAGACCTAGCGAGGTATTAAGCTACCATCTTTTGCTGAAAGTGACAGAGATACAGTGATTGTATCTAGCCACAGGTGCGCCCAGGGGAAGTAGCAAGTATACGATTACAGGTATAACCACAAGGTGCAATAGGAAAACGGCGTGGTACGGCTTGGATTTGTCAGAGAACGCATTCTTATTATAGTAATTCACTCCTCTCCTGCTCGGTGCTGGTAGTAGGAAGGGGCCATGAAGGATGCAGACAGCTGTGTGAATCACCGCTGTTCTCATCAGAAAGTGTGGCATTTAGCAGCTATACATAGCAGCACTGGGAACTTTTGTCAAGGGTGGGCTGAATGTCACAGTGGCTGTCTTTGAGGTCGTTTTTTTCTTCTCCAGTTTTGCTCGTAAACTTTTTCTCCGAATGCATTTCTTGTTATTTGTACAATTCTTAAGATGCAATTTTAAGTTTTATGTTAGTTTGAAAATTAAATTGTAATTGCTGGTACTGATATATATAAATATATATTTAATATATTTATTATTTTAAACTTTGCTAATCTACAACGAGTAAAAAGTTGTGGATATAAGCGAATATTAATGTAACTTTCTTTTTGTGCTGTAACTTTTAAAGACCAGAGCTTATAAAATATTGTTAAAACGTTAGGTGTCAGATATATTTATATATTCATTTTATGGATCGTGCTCCTGCTTTTTCTAAAATTTATAGTTTTCCTTGCAATTTTTCTCCCCAGGTAACTTTGGTAACGAGTAATTGACAGAGTGAAATTACCTTTTTCAACCAGTAGATGGAAACACTAATGCTTAGAATTTTGCAACAACAAATCACCTCCAAATCCAAAGGCCCTCACGAAAACAATGAATAGTACTGTGCTATGCATATAAAAGTGAATGCTCAAGGCTGAATTTATGAGCCACAAACTTATAACAAAGACATGCTGTCTCATTTTAAATTAACTAGTGCATCAACATTGCAGTGGTTTGTATTGCATTCCACTCATAACTTTGGGTGTTATTTAGCCCATACGATCTAGCATTCTTGCATTCACCCTAGTGAAGTAGGCCCATGTGTTTCAATTTCCTTTGATGTTAACATATTTGTAAAATACTTCCCTTAGCAGAGCTTTCTGATGCATGAAGTCGAAGACTATAGTTAACTAAACACTAACAGCAAGACAGTCTTTCTCTATAAAACATATTCCCAGAACTGCAAATCTGTGATTTTGCAGAATACATTTATCAAAGTTGTAGAAAAGACTTACTTCAGGGTCATGGGGGTAAAGGGGGCAGAGCTTATCCCAGCAAGCAACTGGTGCAAGGCTTGCTGGGATAAACCCTGGAAGGGATGCCAGTCCATTGCAGGACACACACAGACACAGACACAGACTCATGCACACTAGGACCAATTTTCCCAGAAGCCAATTAACTTACCTTAACTTACGTTTTTGGACTTTGGGAGGAAATTGGAGCACCCAGAGGAAACCTGCACAACGATAGGGAAATAAAAACTCCATGCATATAGCACCCCAGGTTTGGAATTGAACTCAGCACTGTGAGGAGGCAATGCTAACCACTGAACCCCTGTGCTGGCCTCAGTTACGTCAGTGCTATATAAATCGTATAACCACAATAACAAGATAATTGTCACACATTGGAGCAGGGGTGTCTAAACCTGGTCCTGAAGAGTCATAATCCAGCAGGGGTTATGGGTTACCCCTAATACAGTAATTTCTGAATGCTTGGAAAATTTTCAGTTTCATTTTGACCACTAAAGCAGGTGATGTGTTTAATTAAGAAAGCAATAAATCACTTCAAATTAAAATACTATTTTACAGTACAAAACTATGCATTTTAAACATAATTGGACCAATTAGCTTATAAATTGATCAAATATTTACAATTTTACTCCATAGTGACCTACAGTATAGGACCTTCCAGGCACTTAAGCACTGGAGTAAGGTTTCTGGACTGGGGTCCTATATTGGATACTCTTTTGGTAGCCGGGCTTAGACCAGTGGGAGGACATCTGTCAAAACTATTCATAAGCACACAGAATCACCAAGTATTTAAAAGTTATCACTTTATAAAAATAAGTGTTTGAGATCTAAGATCATTACAATGAAACGTGCCAGAAATATTTGTGTCTGTTAAAGGTAGTTTATGGTATTAAAAGTTAATAAAAAAGAAATGAACTCAAGATCCAAGTGTGACACAGAAACAGTTTCTGTTTGCTGAATGGGTGGCAAAGTGGTTTAAATGTCAGATTTCACAGACAACTAGTATTGGCAGCATAGACCACAATAGGTTCCATACTTAGTCTTTGTTCAAATTCTCATTCAGATGTCTGCTATTATTATCCCACATGCGTTTTCAATTAAAAGATAGAATGAAACAAAATGAAAAAAAATATTTCTACTCAGTAACAGATTCAAAAACAACATATTTCTTGTCACATGTTCTTATTCCAAGTGTAAATCACATGTTTTAAAAATCATAAATAGTACTTTACTGTAGTAAAAGTAGTTTACTACAAATCAGCTGGGAATGTTATAGTCAAGGGTAAACAATATCACTTTGGTTACTCAGTGATTAGCAAATTGGTAATCCATGGTCAAAATAAACTTTTGACTGAAGAGGTGTATCTGGTGTTATGGTTTTTTTTGAAAGACCAATTTTGGTTTTAATATTTCACACTGTCGACAGATAATCACCTCCAAGTTCCAAGAGTCTGTATTTTCAAGAAAATGAAGTTGTAGGTAAATCAAATTTTTAGGACCAATATTTAATGGTAACAATAGCTGATAGATTGCAAACACTTCTGACATTATTGAATCTTTTGTGTTTGAGAGATGTTTTTAAAATTTCTTTTGTCTATGAACTTATAGCTAATCTTGCAAAAATGTTGCTGTCTGAAACCAGACCAAGAATGCACTTTTAAAATGGTCCATATTTTTTTACACCTAATTAATAAATGACAGGTCTAATTATAGCTGTTTGTGTGGTTCTGTCTTAGAAGCAATTGTGTCATTAGAATGTGTAAGTGAAAACTAGCCAGACTCAACCCAAGCACATCTGCTACTGCTTAGAAGAAAGCCAATCCCTGCTTAACAAGAAAGACTTGCAAATATCTTACAATTTACACCAACTGAATAAGGATACATTCTGTAAGGGAGTTCAAATGAGTTTAATTTCCAGTGACTTGAAGGTTCCATTTCAGCTAGAATTATAATTAATGATATGGGAGAGTTATCTTATTTTTTAGGTTTGGAGTAAATCTGATATTTGGCACTTTTTAAATAAGTATAAATTTAAGTTTTAGCTGGTTTTAACACAGTGTAAGTGAAATGTCACATCATGATGTTTTATTTTAAGTGAACTGTGATTTAACCAGGTGAAACAGATTACACATACAGTATATGTGCTTTCCCCATGCAATATTATTATATTATGCTTCTTATAATACATCAATATTATGTAATATTACTCTTTGTCATTTTTGTAAGTCATGAAATTTGATCAACAAATGATTTTCCAGCAATTCCTGCAGGCTGACAATTTGTATCCAGACTTGACTTTATTTATTGGGCATTACTGATGACATAGTAACTCTGGCAGCAATGTGGGCCAGGAAAGAAGAGGATTAATGAACAGTTAATTGTATCATTAGCATTATCTGATGACTAGTTCTTAATTTGTAGGGATGGACTGACTTGACACAATCTAGAGCAATATTAAAGCTGATGTCCCTACAGGAAATACAAGTACATTGTTTCAGAGAGATCTTATCTGACTCTTGCATATGACTAGTATTGCTAAAGCATATTGCTGTGATTCTAGCACTTCAAGGGATATTTTGTTCCCAATAAATTAATCACTTTCAAAACTGTAGCTGTTAAAGTTCACATTTTTCAGACAGGAATTTGTAATGTTTGTTTATTATTCATTTTTTACTATATTAAGCACTGCAGATTACCAACTGATCATTAAACTGAATTAATGTAGGATGCCATCACTATAATATTTAAGTTAACATTTATTTCTGCATCTCATGTAGTATAATTATGAATCTAAATTTGATTTTCACATTAGTAAATTTCTATCATTCTTGAATTAAGGAGAATTCACCATATTGAATCTCCTCCATGTATTCCTAGAAGCCTACAAGCAATATTTAATCTCTGATTGCTAATCAATTTATCATGAATCAGATATTCATTTTATGCAGAAAAGAAATGATAATGTAAGTGTGCTTCTGAAATGATCAAGGGCATATTTTTCCATATACGTTATGTGTCATTGCCCTTCAGGTTGA